AAGTTTTCAACCGTCACCGTTGACTTGTTGCCAGATGATATATTGTCCATGACTGTGGATTGGTTTAGCTTGACTTTGTTCAACGGTATATTAGACAAATGACGACCGCTGATCTTGCACTTTGCCAAGTAGAGAAAGTTTTCTTTGCTTTACCGAGGGACCATGTTTCTTTCACATTGGTGGAAAAACAGGATTGTTTAACTTCGGGATCTTCTAATGGGATAGCTTTGATTGGGGTAGGTTCAATCAATTCGTCTTCAGGTTGCCATAGAAATCTTGAGCCTGTTATCCATCTTGAATTCTTCAAGAATTGCATTGCTGACATGCCTCGAGATCTGTCATCAGCTGGATTAGAACTTGAATCGATGTAATTCCATTGTTCTTTAGTGGTTTTCGAGTGGATTTGAGCGACACGATTCGCGACGTACACGTGAAATCTCTTGGAGTCATTTCCAATGTATCCCAGTAGTCTAGGACCTGTATATGAGTTTGTATGCGATTCATTTAGGACAGGTAATCTCAACTGTTTTAGGGTAAAATGACCATGGCGGTCAACATGGCATATGTGCGAAAACCTGAATCCGGGACGAAAGTCCTGAAAATGACCCCGCCCTGAAACGGCAGTGCCGACATAGCTCTAACTTCCAAAAAGGAAAAGCGACAGCCTTTCTGAAGTGCTTATAGTGTTCAGAAGGGTTGCTTTTAGGGGTGGTCATTGGAAGGAAAAATTTGTCTAAGTATAATATTTTACCAGAAAATGACTATGCACCACCCCAGGTAAATTGCTGATTATGCACAAAATAACTAATATGCCTGGCAGAAATTAAATTTTCTTATTTCCTACAAAAAATTATCATGGGATGAAAAACTATGCTTAGTTCAATATAATTATTGTGGATTTCATAAGGATTGTCATTGTTTTCTTTTAATATATAACACATTTTATTTTACTTACCCCCCACGAAAACACGATTTCAGCCATACTTTGCCATCTTGTTTGCTTTTTATCGCCGAGTCTCGCAAATATCATCCAGTTGTTGTACTTTTACATAATCATAAAGCGCTAAAGAATATTTCAACCAAGTTTCATCAACTTGTGAGACAGTGCAGTGTATTTTACCTTTGATATTGTGTCCTTCGATATTTCGCCAAATTGTCACCATTCGGCTAACCTGAAGTTCAGGCCCTAATTTGAAATAGGGCCTGACACAAAACCTGTCTAGACCGTGAGACGCCCACATGTTATTTTTAGACACACATGCAATATGATTGACAAGTGTTGTAGATTTCGTTACACAAAAAAATTATATTCTCATGAACATGTCCGCAGCGCATTTTGCTTTTTAATTAAACTTAATATAATTAAGAGTCAGTTTCTCTATTTAACCGAACAGGCGAACAGCAAACAAAGATTTAATTAGTCAGTTCTGTGCACGGCTTGACTGCCAAGCTTTCTCAAGGTCTCAACTTGCTGGACGCGGATATACTCTAACGACTAACGGGCTAATAACAGCAACAATTAAATTCTCAATCATACCACGAAGAAGGCGATGTAGAAACAATTACGACGGTACGACCTGATATTAAAAATAAGACTTTTGCCGGCGAAGCAAGTTGGCAGAACATCTTGGCTGTCAACAACAAGCTTTCGAATACAGGACTAGTTTGGCTGTTCTTTCAGCGTCGTGTGTGTCCAAAATTCGTCAAAGATTTTGATGAAGCCCTTTCAAAATACTGTTTGTTTTATTTATTTTCTTCCATAAAGCATAAAAGAAAAGAAATTCGAAGAAATCGATAATGGAATTTGTTACGTGCGTTTGACCTTTATATTAATTCTCGCCTTGACCGAGCTATTTTTAAAACTGTTGTTTATGTGAACTTGCAACCAATCAAAATCCTTCATGATTCTGATCAACCAATCAGATTTCCCGTCCACCAGGTGGACGGGAATCCCACACTTTAGATAGGTTTTGTGTCAGGCCCTATTCTGTGATAGGGCCTGAACTTCAGGTTACCATTCGGCCATCATAATGGCTCGCCGCTTCTCTGTTCGATAAATGCCACTTCTTCGTTTTCATATGTATTTAAGTTACAGTATCCAAGAGTACTTCATTGTAGAAGAGTCCCAATCGAAAATTTGACAATATTTGTCCCATTTGGAAGGAAAAACCCTCCTGTATACCATTCAGGTTCAAAATAAAAAACAGATCATTTGAAAGTTACACACAATCTTCGCGAAAACTTCTCGTGGACACATAACAGGGGGGGTGAATATTTTCACGAAACGTTGTTCGCCACCACAGAAACATAACTAAATATATTGTATTTATTGTATTTTTATGATTTATGATAAAAACAATAAATATTTGCATAGTTTTGTCATAAATCATAAAAATACAATAAATATAATATATTTAGTTATGTTTCTGTGGTGGCGAACAAACATTTCATGAAAATATCCACCACCCCCTGTCATGTGTCCACGAGAAGTTTTCGCGAAGATTGCGCGTGGCTTTCAAATGATTTGTTTTTTATTTTGAACCTGAATGGTATACGGGAGGGTTCCTCCTTCCAAATGGGACAAATATTGTCAATTTTTCGATTGGGACTATTCGACAATGAAGTACTCTTGGATACTGTAATCTAAATACATATGAAAACGAAGAAGTGGCATTTACTGACAGAGAAGCGGAGAGCCATTAAAATGGTGGCAATTTGGTGAAATATCGAAGGATACAATATCGAAGGTAAAATACACTGCACTGTCTCACAAGTTGATGAAACTTGGTTGAAATATTCTTTAGCGCTTTATGATTATGTAAAAGTACAACAACTGGATGATATTTGCGAGACTCGGCTATAAAAAGCAAACAAGACGGCAAAGTATGGCTGAAATCGTGTTTCCGTGGGGGGTAAGTGAAATAAAATGTGTTATATTAAAATAAAACAATGACAATCCTTATGAAATCCACAATAATTATATTGAACTAAGCATAGTTTTTCATCCCATGATAATTTTTTGTAGGAAATAAGAAAATTTAATTTCTGCCAGGCATATTAAATATTTTGTGCATAATCAGCAAATTACCTGGGGTGGTGCATAGTCATTTTCTGGTAAAATATTATACTTAGACAAATTTTTCCTTCCAATGACCACCCCTAAAAGCAACTCTTCTGAACAGTATAAGCACTTCAGAAAGGCTGTCGCTTTTCGGAAGTTAGAGCGATGTCAACACTGCCGTTTCAGGGCGGGGTCATTTTCAGGACTTTCGTCCCGGATTCAGGTTTTCTCACATATGCCATGTTGACCGCCATGGTCATTTTACCCTAAAACAGTTGAGATTACCTGTCCTAAATGAATCGCATACAAACTCATATACAGGTCCTAGACTACAGAGTAATTTGACTATCCGTCCAAAATGTTTCTTTCTTGATGTGATACTCAAGTTAACATTTCATTAAATCATTTACCTTTGCGGAAACCAATGCTGCTGTCAGTTCCAATCAAGGTATAGATACGGTTTTAAGTGGATTGACTCTTGCCTTTCCCTTGACCAGTGAACAATGTATTTTTCCTTCAGCATTCACCAAGCGAAGATAGGAACACTGACTATATCCAACGTTACTTGCATCAGAGAAGTTGTGAAGTTCGGCATTTAATCTCACCAAACTCTTCTGGTTTGAAACATCTCGGAATTGATAATTCTTTTAGACAGGTCAGTTCGTTTCGCCATTTTTCCCATTTCATCTTTAGATTTGCCGGAATTGCATCATCCCAGTCCACTTGGTTGCGACAAAGATCTTGGAGAATTTGTTTCCCAGTCAAGATTATCGGTGCTACAAAACCCAATGGATCGTAAATGGAACAAACTGTTGCAAGAATTCCACGTCTTGTTAGTGGTTGGTCTTGTAATATAATTCGAAATTCAAAGTTGTCAGCTTCGATGGATCATTGTACTCCAAGCGTTCTTTCGATTGGTAGGGCTTCGAGATCAAGGTCTTTAACAGCGTCTGCTCGATCATGTTGAGGAGTTTCTTTGATGACTTTTCTTCTGTTGCTTATGAACTTGCATAAATTAAACCGCTATGCCCACACATTTCTTTCACTTGCTTTATCAAGGTTACAGCTTCACGGTTAGAAGAAACAGACTTGAGCCCATCGTCGACATAAAAATTATTTCGCAAGAACTCTGCCGGATTCTTTCCAATCTCTTGTTTGTTACCATTGGCTGTTCGTTTCAACGTGAAATTTGAACACCCCGGAGACGATGTTGCTTGAATAAATGAACTGTCATCCGATATGTTTCGATCTCTTCACTTGTCTCGCCGTTAGGCCACCAAAGGAAACGAAGGAAATCTTGATATTCTCTTGTGACTTTAACTTGATGGAACATCGCTTCTATATCAGTTGTGAAGGCAACAGTTTCTTGTCGAAATCTTGTCAGCACTCCAATCAGCTTATTCGTAAGGTCTGGGCCCTGTAACAAATACTTGTTGATGGATTCTCCTTTATATTGCGAGGAGCAATCAAATACTACACAAATCTTCGATGGTTTTTTAAGGATGGTAGACACTGTGATGGGGGATATACCAGCATTTGCCTTCTTCGGTTGTGAAACTCGTTTTGCATATCCTTTCTTTATCGTATCATTCACAAATGCAACGTAATCTTTCTTATACTTGTCATCTTTCTCAAATCTCGACTTTAACTGTTGTAGGCGATACGATGCTAACTTCCTGTTGTTAGGTAACTTGATATCATTCTCTTTGAACGGCAGGGGAATCTCGTAATGTCCATCTTCTCTAAGATGAATTCCTTCACAAACCTTTCTTAAGAATGTCTGATCATCAACTGAGGAATACTTGGCAGCAGCATCACAACTTTCGTTGAAATCAAGTTCAAACATCCTAACAATTGTCATTGGATCGATAATTTCTTTCACGTTACTTTTAGGAACAAAGATAACACCAGACTGTTTTTGTGACACAATCTCTGTTGTGATAATTCTGTTGCACGAAAATCGATCTTGTGCGAGATCATTATGCTCAATCATGGAAACAGGACCAATTATTCCCCAACCAAGAAGAGTTCTAATTGCATACGTATGACGTCTTGTGGCTTGATAGCTTTTGGACAATTTGATCCTATTAGCAGACCAATCTCGATTCTTTCTTGGTACCGAGGTAATTTCGTGGTTAGTTCACATAAGTGGTCCCACTTGTTAGCCATTTCAGGATGAGGGATCTCACTTCTCCTCGATGGAATATCACTCCGACAGTAGACAGCCATTGGTAGTTCAATTTGGGTGGTTCTTTCCAGATCTT